ACAGACGGTAATTTACATCTTGGTCAAATGTAGCCGGCTTTTACCAAAAAACACTACAATTGGATACAAACTCAAAATAAGCAAGGTCAAAACCTTAGCAATTAACCCACTACTTGGTTATGATGCATACGTCCGGCCAAGGGCCGCCTGCATACCAACAAACGGCACTGTTGTATACCTAAAGGGTAATACGCAGCCGTTTAAAAGAATAATCTAGGTTGGCCTTAGCTAGCACCGCCAGCTAATCCAACTTAGAGTAATTTTATTTTTATTTTTAAAAAAAAAAAAACAACCGGTCAAGGACCGCCTATCTATTCGACCGGATGCTTGTATGGACGGCTACCTGCTTAGAGTTGGATTAACTATAAGCAAACAACCGTCCAGGGGCAGGTGGAGCCAATGCATCCAGCATACCGCATTCCAGCTGCTCTTCCAAGGGAAGGGGAAGAGACCCTGTAAAATTTGCTTTTCCAGCTGCTCCACTTAGACGGCTTATCCAACATCATCATATACTCCGGATGCGTGGTCAATGTATACCACGCATTCCAGTCGCCTGGGGCATGGCTGAGGCAGTGCATATGTGCAAACGCCTCCCAGCTAGGGGTTATGTCTTGCATCTCGTAGGCGGCGATGTATCCAAGTATGTTCACCCATGAGTTGGGTGTTAGCTGCCAGACGCCAAGGTCGTAACTCCTTAGAATGGACTTTATTGTGTTATGGAGGGGGAACCGGAGGCCTTCTTTGAATGCCGCCTCATAACAGCCGAAGTAATCATCGACATGATCTAAGTCGTCATCCCAGACGACAGTTGCCTTTATAGGCGGCACGACAACCTCCTATCCTTCCCCAACTGGGTGCTTTTCCAAAAAGGCCGGAAGGGTGGTGTTAAAGTAACCACGTCCCGGGCGCTCATATACGCCTTTGTTGGATTGTTTATAGAGGGCCACTTATATACCTCATCATCCTATTGAGGGGCATCCGGCTCCATGGTTGTCTTCGTAGATTCAGATTGTTGGACGGTCTCTTCGCTGTCTAAACTCTCAGATTCCTCCAGATCTCATCTCCGGGCGTGCTAGGTACACCTGGCTTGTCATAAGGTACATCATCAGCCGGAGCTTCGGCTAAGCTGTCTGACTGATATTCGGGGTCTACAGCCATCAATTTAGTCTGAGTCATTCTGTCCTGCACATGAACAGAGACGGTCGGATTCGCAGAAGAGTAAGGGTGGTCCAAACACCCCCAGACGGCATCCCCAGTCTTAGACTCAGCCGTGTCCGGTGACCGGTTGACAAATGTCCTAGGTCGTGATGTGTATGTGTTGGGCGAGTTCATTATCTCTAACAACCTATACAACCGGAAAAAGCGCAAAAAAGTTGCAGGGGCAGAGACGGTACCTTTGAAGCTGTAAGAAATCTGAAGAAAGTTAACTCCTCGAAGTCAGCAGCCGGTAATATTCTTTGTTGCTTGGAGATGCCCCAGACGGTGTCCCGGACATACCCCTTTGAATAGCAACTAAAATTTGCAAAAGACCCAACCGTTTCTCTGAAATGCGGCTTGAAGATACCCCAGACGGTAGTGACCGGCTGTGGGTGTATTGAGAGCTAGGGAAAATAAACAGGTGGTCAAGCGGTTTTGAAGAAAATGGCTTGAAGATGCCCCAGACAATAAAGACCGGCTGTGGGTATATTGAAAGCAAGTGAAGAAAATTTACTAAAGTCAGGTGGTATTTGAGAGTATTGAGGAAAGAACACTCAGACGGTGTCCGGATGAGTATAGAAAGAGGAAGTGGTTGAGTGCAAAAGCAGCCGGTATCAGAGCTTTTCTCTCATGAAGATTTTGTGAAAATTTGCAAAGTGTTGCAAATGAGGGTGAAAGGTTTCTATTTATAGAAGGAACCAAAAGGCGAACCGTCGCTTCCCCTTCAAATTCAAATTCGAAATTCGAATTCAAAAAAAATGGAGGAAATGAGACAAACTGTCACCTTCCCAGAATGTGACACATGTTACAGGTGCCACGTGGCAAGCCACGTCACACCTGTGAGGGGAAAATGTTTAGGGTAAAATTACCCGATGCCACGTGTCCCAATGACATGCTGACACGTGTCAGTCTTAGAGAGGTCCAACGGGATCCAATCCTCTTCTGACACGTGGCACCTTAACCCTAAAAGGGGAACTGATCCCCTTCCACAATAAATAGAGAAAAAATCCTCATTTATTACACATTCATAAATAAAAACACAAAAACCGAGCAATATTAATTGCAGAATTCTCTTTGAATTAGAGAGAAAACCCTTTACATCTTGCATTTTATTATATCCGGAAACGTTCTAACTTGATCATCGGAGGCGGAACTCCACCCAACCGGAGTTTCGTGGTTTTGCAGGTACAGACGATCGACATGCATTCTCGCTGTTGTAACTCTCCCGAGGGACTCCAAAAACCCCGAAACACTAAGGGATGCAAACGCTAAGGTTTTTACAAAAAAGGTAACCAAGGAAGCGGATTGAGATAGAGAGGTAGATCCAGACAAGACTTAATTACAAATGAAGAACTGTTTCTCGAGAGTGGTCAAACTGATCATAGGGGAATTAAGGGGGAGAAATTTGATGCAGAGAGATACTCCGTGGTGGAATAATGATATGAAAGTATTAATTAAGCAAAAAAGGGTATGGAGCGACGAAACCTTTGCAGCGTATAAGGAGGCTAAGAGTAAGGAAAAGGAAGCTTTTCGCCATGTGAAAAAAAAAAGGCTTATCATGAGGTTTATAAAAATATTGACTCCGGCTAAGAAGAGAGAAAAGATCATTTATAAAATGGCGAAGAAAAGACAAGATGCAAGGAAGGATATTAGAATGGTAAAGTATGTTAAAGATATGAACCAATGAGGACATCAAGGATAGGTGAAGAGGGGTACTTCAAAGAATTGTTTAATATAATGGAAGTAATGGAGTTGTGACAGGAGATACCTCAGTGAGTGATGAAGAAATCGACATGGACTATATGCGGAGGATTAGGAGATTAAAGGTGGAGATTTCACTGAAGAAGATGAAGAAGCCTAAGAAGGTGGTTGGCCCTGATGGTAAACCGATAGAGGTGTTGAGATGTTTGGGTAAAATGGGTAAGATTGGTATTGATTGGGTCAAAGACCTCTTTAACAAGATATGGAGGGCTACAAGGATTCCGCAAGATTGGAGGAAGAGCACCTTGGTCCCGGTCTATAAAAACAAAATAGACGCTTAAGATTATTCTAATTAACTATCGAAGGATCAAGCTTATGAGTCACACTATGAAGTTGTGGGAAAGAGTGATTGAACATAGGTTGAGGGCATGCACAAGTATTTCGGATACCCAATTTAATTATGTGCCTGAGAGATCTACTTTTGTAGCAATCCATTTGATAAGACAAATAATGGAGTTTTATAGGGTAAAGAAGAAGGATCTTCATATGGTCTTTATTGATTTAGAGAAGGCATATGGGTTGACAAAAGAATTTCTTATTACAATTGTATTGCATCAAGGGACTACATTAAGCCCTTTTTTTCTTGTAATGGTTCCAGATGAAGTAACTAGACCAAATCAAGATGAAGTTCCATGGTGTATGCTGTTTGCGGATGATATCGTTTTTGTGGATGAAACTAAAGATGGGGTTAATGCCAAGTTAGAGCAATGGAGGAAAAGGTTGGAATCTTGAGGATTGAAGCTAAGTCGCAGTAAGACTGAATTTTTGGTATGCCGCTTTGGTACTTAGAGGAGGACAAGCAATGATGTTGTGAGTTTGGATGGAAAGGCCTTGACCGTACCATGAGTGATTGTTTAAATATCTTAGGTCGATCATCCTAAAAAATGGTGACATTAATCAAGACGTGGCCCACAAGATTAAGTCGGGGTGGCTTAAGTGGAGAGCTGCCATGAGAGTGTTATGTGACCGAAACATTCCCTTATAGTTGAAGGGAAAATTCTACAGGACTGCCATAAGACTAGTGTTGTTGTATGGTACAGAATGTTGGGCTTCTAATAAGAAGGAGCATATTAAAAATATAGAGGTTACGGAAATGTGCATGTGTAAGGTGGATGTGCGGGAACACTCTAAGAGATATAATAAAAAATAATAAGGTTATTCGCAAGAAAGTAAGTGTAGCAGGCATTGCAAACAAACTAAGGGAAAATCGAATGTGTTGGTTTAGGCATGTAAGATGGAGACCTAGGGGTGCACCGGTACGAAAAGTGGAAGAGTGGGACCATGGAGGGATTAAACGAGGGAGAGGGAGATATAAAAAAAATGAATTGGTTAGAAGAAGTTAGGAAGGATATGAACTACATGGATTTGCATAAGGATGGATGAGGCATTGGATGGAGGAGGAAGATTTTTGTCGATGACAACACAAAATAATCAAATTTGGTTCATATAGCCGACCTTACTTATGGGATAGATTAAGGCTTTGATTGATTGATTTATTGAGGAACATAAAATGAAAAAAAAAGGTATGTAGGATGGTATTATGCTCGTTTTGTCCCATAATATAATAGTGTCCATTTCACTTTTCTTGGTTTCCAAGCTATGTCTTTTACCATCAATACCTTATTCATGCATTAACGAATTATAAAAGTTGATATTATATAAAACTAAGGGTACGTTTGAAATTACTGTGATTTTCTGATTTTTTGGTTTTTTGTTTTTAAAATCATATAATATATGTCCAATAATGAATAAAAAGTTAGTCAAACTTATTAAAATCATGATAATTTTGAAAACTGACAACAGAATAGTGAAAACACATTTTTCTTGTTTCTTATTTCCTGTTAACGATGCCAATCAAGCCCTAAATTAAACATTTCTTAATTCTTAAATAAACATATAAATGTCAAAGAGAATTTTTGGTTAAACTTTTTTAAGTTTGACCTAGAAATAGAAATATTTAGGCAATATATTACGTGACTTACAGAGTGCTACATACAAAGTATTTTGTTAACTAAGATGGTCCATTGCATAAATTATCGCAGCTTCGGTCGTTGTGAGTGCGATTGCTACTATAGCAATAGTGATGGCAATAATCTACTGCTTAAAGAGGACAGGGGATGCACTCCCAAAATATGCACAAGCTCAATTGACCGTTGGACGTAATAACTCTAGCAAACAACAACAGAATTACAATTTTAATCATGAAGCAAACATTACTTACGCAACCATGGAGCGATTCCTTGGTGACATAGCACGAGAGCAGCCTACTCGATTCTCAGCGACCGAGCTTACTCAGTGCACCCGAAACTTTACTAAGGTACGTACTCACTATAGCTCTTAGGCAACCTGACCTTGTGTGTGCTTAATATATAGTTTTATTTGGGCTTATAATTGTGTACAATTATTAAAAAGTGATTAAAAATCGACTTGGCTTGTATGCAAGTAACAAAGAAAATGATGTACTTCCTTTATTTCCTTTAAATGCAAAGTACTTTCTTGACACATTTTCTTAGAAATTGATTAAAATACATTGATAAACGAGCCACTTTATCAAAATATTTAATTTGAGCACTAAAATTGAAGAAGGTAGGGCTAGAAAATATTTGTATTAATTATTTTTTATTATTTTATCCACTTAAATGGATTAATCTCTTTCTCAACGTGCATGTATGCTAAAAAGGTGGGTTTCATTTAAAAGAAAGCGACAGAAGTATTTGATAATTTGAAGATGGGTTGCATGTAAAAGTGCGTGCTAAGAAGGTGGGTTGCAAATGGATTACTTCAATTCGTATATTTCCGGAAATTCATTTTTAAAGAAAATAATTTTTCAATGGAAAATAGAATTGTAAAAAGGGTTTCCTTTGTTTGTTTGACTATAAGAAAATATGTTTGACTATAAGAAAATATTTTTCTATCAAAATAAAACAAACCTTAAAGTTGAGCATGACCAACTCAACCTGACTAAAATTTGCTTAAAATTGCAGCACCTAGCTAATGAACTTCGACAAACCTACAAATTTCGATTAATCAACCATTGCACAACCCGTTTGACTCGAAACATACAAAAAAAAAAAAAAATTAATTATGCAATTCGATTGATATTTTGAGCAGGTATTAGGATCTGGTGGATTTGGAGTGGTGTACAAAGGAAAGTTTCCGAATGGTATTCATGTCGCGGTAAAAGTATTGAAAGAGAATGTAAGTAAGAAGGTTGAAGAACAATTCATGGCAGAAGTAAGCACTATGTGTAGAACATATCATATTAATCTCGTAAGGCTTTATGGTTTTTGTTTTGATCCAACAATGAAAGCCTTAGTTTACGAGTATATGGAACAAGGATCTCTTGATAATCTATTATTTCGTCAAAAAAGTAATAACATTATGTATGTAGCATTGGACAAGTTACAAGACATTGCAATTGGTACGGCTAGAGGTATGGCATATTTACATGAAGAATGCCAAAAGAGAATCATTCACTATGACATTAAGCCCGGGAATGTACTATTAGATGCAAGGTTAAATCCGAAGGTGGCGGATTTTGGCCTAGCAATGTTATGCAATCGAGACAACACACACGTTGTTATGTCAGGTTGTCGAGGAACTCCAGGGTACGCTGCTCCAGAGTTATGGACTCCCTACCCGGTCACTCACAAATGCGATGTTTACAGCTTTGGAATGCTTTTATTTGAGATTGTAGGGAGAAGAAGAAACCATGACACTAATCTTAGTGGGACTAGCCAAGAGTGGCTACCGAGGTGGGCGTATGAGAGGTTCGACAAGGGAGAGTTAGCGGAGATGTTGTCGCTTGTAGGCATCGAAGAGGACGATAAGGAGAAGGCAGAAAGAATGGTGAAGGTTGCTCTTTGGTGTGTACAATACTTGCCAAATGCAAGACCTATGATGAGTTCTGTTGTAAAGATGTTGGAAGGAGGGATTCCGATTGATTCACCACCAAATCCATTTGCTCATTTGCAAGATAATATCGGGTTAATTAGTGAAGGTGATAGTAATTCATCATCAACTAAAAGCACTTCTCCATTACTCAAATCTGAGAGCAGCAAATTGGAGATTCAAATAGCCAATACTTACTGATTGTTATTATATATTATTTAAGCATGTCTAATTTTATGTAAGTATGATTGAGAACATATGCACACTTAAAAATACCTTGGTAACCCTATCATATCTTCCTCTGTTCTTTTTTAGTTTACCCGTTTTGATGTTTACAATATTCACCACCTCTCCTTTGACCGTCTTTTGTGAATACCTCTCCTTTGAGCATCTTTTGTGAATATGTAAGGAAAAACGTATTCATGTGGGATCTTTTTGAATTAATCTCAATAATTATTATCATAATATATAAATTTTATAATTTTTACTTATGGAGAATTAAAGTGTTGATCTTCTAATTTTGCATTGACAAACGTGATGAAATAAATAAGTCAAGTAAAAAAGAACAAAGAAAGGAAGTATACCAAATAAAGGATAAGGAAAATTATTTTAGGATTTAAACATGTGTACAATGTATCTATCGTATCTATCACTCACTTTCAACTAATAATCCGATTGAGAATGGCCGAACAGGAAGTGATCATTCTTACTTCTATTTACAACTTTCTTTAAATAAAGATGCAAAATTGCTAAGTAGTGCTCAACTTTTATATGAAATAAAAAATGGTGAAGTGTTAGCGTTATTCCATTTTGTATGTCCCGATTAATAAAGGTATATTGGAGGTACAACTAGCATATCAAAATTTTGAGTAGCTAATTGCCTAATTGGATCTCGAAGCTTTTCACTTGTAGGAGTAATAATGGTATTACTATTCTAGAATCGATCACCTTCTAATAATATAAAACTAGTGTGAGGCACGGAAGTTGCATTGAATTACCGATTTGATTAAAAAAATTCTTTATCATTTTTTTTTTATGGTTTTTGTGCGTGTCAACTATATAATATAATTGTGGTATTATGAATTAATAAAGCATATGTTGCTTGAGTATGTTGAACATAATGTTACTAATTTTTTTTATTATTTTTTTTTATTAACTCTCCATTGTTTGGGAAATGTTCATTCTATTCCTCTTAAATTTTTTTTTCATGTTCATTTTTTCCCTTTTATTTTGTGCGTGTCATTTATAGTTGTATTTATATAAACAACATGATTTATTATTGGCTAAGATGGTAATGAGTTTGATCTTGTTCCCCTAAGGTTTAGTGTTCGAAACCCATGACATACCCTTTGTAAAATGCTGATGACATGTTGTTAAGTGATGATGTGGCACATAAATGTTTTTAATATAAAAAGTATAGTTTGTTTTACTGGAAGTCTGGTTATTAGCAAAATGGCAGTGTCTGGTATGTGCGCTAAATTTAGGCAATACTAAATACAAAATAATAACTAGTGAAATCGGTGTATAGTTTATATATGTGGTATTATTACACCTGAAATAAGTAAGCACTACTGTTATACAATAAGTTATCGTAAGTTTGTATAATTGTATCATACATAGATATATTACCAAAAAGATATATCAAATCTCACCATTATGAGCTTTATGGGATATGATACACTTTGTAGCTAGCAAGGTAGCTTTTCAAGCCTAGATAACCTTTACATGATTCTAAAGACAAATACTTTGTTAAATAATTATATTATCAAGGAAAAATGGTACTTAGAGATTGAAAATTACTGTTATACAGAAAAAGACTGCCATTAAGCTATATTAACTACTTAGCTTGATCACTTTTAGTATGTGGCCCTGGCCGTTGTCCCGAATACTTATTTTAGAGAGTGTACTTATTTGTGGCATGTTTAATAATTATAATAATTGTAGCATTAAATTTAGTAGTACCTTTTACAGAAAAAAAAATTATTGAGACGCTTTTTAAGTGAAAAAAAAAAATATTAAAACCGAATATGAAGAATACATGTTTCAAAAGGTTTGATGGTAAATCAATGGTAGACTAAAAAAATTAATGATATATGGTCATATTTATATTTATAATTATAATTACGTGGTTATTCGTATAGGAGTAAAATTTTATTGTTAGTTGGATATTCATATTAATTGTAATATGTGGTGTTTTGTTATATGTAAAATTCTTTTGTCAATAAAAAGATTTTTATTTTCAAAAGAATTATAAATTATTTTATTATACTTTTTTTTATCCTAAACAAATCTATTCAATCTAGCTAATCTAACGTGGCATCTAATCTAATCACAATAATATATATTTGTCGCCTACGTGGCTCGACACTTGGCGAAAAACTGAAATGCCAAGTGTCGTTGTCTCGTGGCCTGACTGCGAGACCGGCTTTGTCAATAAAAAGATTGTTTTTTTCAAAAGAATTATAAATTATTTTATTATACTTTTTTATCCTAAACAAATCTATTCAATCTAGCTAATCTAACGTGGCATCTAATCTAATCACAATAATATCTATTTGTCGCTTACGTGGCTCGACACTTGGCGAAAAACTAAAATGCCAAGTGTCGCTGTCTCGTGGCCTGGCTGCGAGACCGACTTTATTTATTAGTGTTAATGGTTTAAACTAACATTAAAATAAAGATAATGTCAACATTAAACTTGGAAATTTAGCAAACTAATAGTATTGTAGTTTGTGGAGACTTGCCCACTACGGCAAAGTTGTATTAAATATGCCAACAATTTAAACTAACATTAAAAAAAGATAAGATCAACATTAAACTTGGAAATATAGCAAACTAATAGTATCGTAGAGACTTACTTCTTCATCAGCTAGGATCATGTCAATTCTCATAAACGAATTGTTCCTCCTTGGGTTTAATACTTCCCACAATCTAGTGATCCTTACTTTTAAAGTCCAATCTTGTTTGTCGTTATTGATTTCTAGATCCTTGATCAAATTATAATATACTGAAAACTAATTGTAGTATTAAATTTAGTAGTACTTTTTATCGTTTGTTGCTTCCATTCATCTTAAAATAAACTGAATAAAATAATAATATGATTAGCATAAAAAAATATATTGAAACCGAGATTAGAAATCACAAACATAAACAAAATTAATATATGAAGAATACCTGATTGAAAAGCTATGATGATAATTCAATTTAGACAAATAAAAATTAATGACACATGACCATATTTATAATTATGAATATGTGTTATTCGTATAAGAGTAAAATTCTATTGTTAATTGGATATTCATATTAAATATGATATATGGTGTGTTGCACCAAGTAAAATTCTATTATCAGTTGGATATGATGTCAACTTATGATAAGTATAATTAAAATTTTCTATCATTAATAAAGATAATCTATTAACTATTACTAAAATAAAACGTTGCTGACATCATCATCGTCCCACATGTCGCTCACATAATAAATTTTTTCCCGCCTAAATGCAAGGATGATGTCATCTTTTAATTTTTTTTTTTTTTGGAGCTACCATATTTAACAATTTTGAAATTTGAATATTATTAGCTTTTACATTACAACTACAACCTATCAATTTAACTTTAAAAAATGAAACAATTGTAAATAGCACACTAATAAAAGGACTCCTACATTGAAATGTGTATTAGACGACGTTGAATAGGTATTATATCATAATATTGATGAAAATCTAAAACTATAAAATTACAAATATTTTTGTACAAAATTCATAATTCTTATTCATATTCATATTTATCTATTTTTTTTTAAATGTACAAATTATAAAAATAAACTTGCATGTTGTAACCTAGTTTTTTCCTATTCTTTATGTGCATATAGTTGTATATATGGCAATAATTCAAAGTAACAAAGTAAATAAGATAAGCTCTGCCCTTATTAAAATAAATTTTAAAAAAAAAATTCAAAGCAAATACAATCATCATCCACAATGAAAAATTAATCACACGTTACATGGGAGTTGTTATAGGGGAAAATATCTTTGATATTATTATGATGTGATTTAGGAGGATATATATTTCTTTTTATATAATAACTTTTTAATCTTATCTAAAAAAAATTATCTAAAATTCGCTTACGTGTCATTAAATATCTATTTATAGCCTACGTGGTGTGACACTTGGCGAAAAACTGCAATGTCAAGTGTCGCTGTTTCGTGGCCTGACTGCGAGGATGGCTTCATATATTAGTGATATATGATATAATAAGTACTTGATCTTAAATCTAGACATCATTAAAAACGTGCACATAGCAGAAATATGAACATATAAGTAAACAACAATACAACATGTGTGCCAGCGATTCATGCCTATAAATATAGGACAATTAATTCCTAATCACTCACAAATAAAACTCATAAACACCCAATTCAAAGGGAAAGTAGCCTTGTAAAAACAGAAATGTCATCAACAAAAAATTCAAGCAAGGTAGTTCGCACAGAGAGTTTATTAGATGAATACCACATCTATTTCTCTCATGTGTTGTCTCCATTGAAGAGGAAGCCGAGGGGCGACTCGGGCTGCACGACAAAGGCGCAGCCCAACCAGCAGTACAGAGTTGATGAAGGCGATGTTAATGCCAAAGCAGAGGATTACATTAAGAAAAGACATCAGAAGTTTGTGCTTAGCAAATGGATTTCCAGGAATTCTACTTGATTGATATGCAATAGTTGATCAACTAGATATTAAAAGGATTAATAGTATTATAATGTATTTTTTACAAGGGACTTACTTATGAAAATTAGCATAGGACTTCTACATTGTTTCAGAGGTGCCTGATTATAGTTCATTTATAATAATTAATTTTGGTTTGGCTAATCCTCGAGTTTATATTGCTTTGAAATATTGAAGGACTTGTTGGGATAATCTTCCCAAATCACAATCAGCTAGTAGCTAAGTAGTATTATTATTGTTATTGATTAATTGATAATAATTAATGTAATAAGAAATGAAAAAAAAAAAAAAAAGAAAGAAAAAGAATAGAAATGAATGAAGTGTAATGGTGGTTGGAATTGAAGATGGACTTGAAAGTCTAATTGTGGTAGAAGGTTGAATTTGTTAAACTTGCATTTACTTGGCAAGTTGGTGGTAAGCTCCTAGATGGAATAGCAAATGGTATTTGGCTATTTACTCCCTCCGTTTCGTAATAACTGCAATAGTAGACATTGTACAAAGTTGTAGGATATTTATAGGGTAGGGATCATAAGGTGAATTTTATAATATAAAGAATAGTTAGTGAATGAAA